TGACCTGCCAATTCTGGTGCTCAATGGCAAATGCCAACCAAGCTCTATGGTGCCAGGCAGTGAGCACAGGGCACACTAAAGGATGTTGGACCCTCAGACCACCCTCATGAAGTCTCTTTTTGTTTGCTTGGTCACAGACATTCACACCAGTGATCATTGGTAATTTGTAGGGCTCTGGCAGTGCTCATCCTGTTCCTCCTTGCACAAAGGAGCAGATACCAGTCCTGCTGATGGGTTAAGGACCTTCTACAGCCCTGTTCAGCTCTCCTAGAGTAACTGCCTGTCTCCTAAAATCTCCTCCATGCTCTTGAGACTCTGCTGGGAGACACCGCAAACATTCTGGCAATGGAACCTATTGATTTGCCATCCTGGAGGGGTTGGACTGCCTGTGCAACCTCTGTAGGGTCCAGGTATGACCTCATGCTACCAGTAGTGACACTGACCCTAGCCAAATGCAAAACTAGTGAAAAACAGTCAGAAAAGTTGAGTTGGGGAAAAATGTCAGTGGCATCCACCTGTATAACCATTCATGTTTTGGAGGTCGTCTCATTGTTGCCCAGCTAGTGCACCTATTGTTAATTTCATTAACACCAAAGCAGCAGAAACTGAATAACAACCCCCCCTCTGCTGCTTAACTGACCAGATCAATATCCCAGGAGGTTAATTGACACGGATTAAAAAGTGTTCCTTTAATTTTTTTTGGAGCGGAGTAGATTCATTACAGATACAGTCAGGTCCATAAATATTGGGACATCGACACAATTCTAACATTTTTGGCTCTATACACCACCACAATGGATTTGAAATAAAACGAACAAGATGTGCTTTAACTGCAGACTGTCAGCTTTAATTTGAGGGTATTTACATCCAAATCAGGTGAACGGTGTAGGAATTACAATAGTTTGCATATGTGCGTCCCACTTGTTAAGGGACCAAAAGTAATGGGACAATTGGCTTCTCAGCTGTTCCATGGCCAGGTGTGTGTTATTCCCTCATTATCCCAATTACAATGAGCAGATAAAAGGTCCAGAGTTCATTTCAAGTGTGCTATTTGCATTTGGAATCTGTTGCTGTCAACTCTCAAGATGAGATCCAAAGAGCTGTCACTATCAGTGAAGCAAGCCATCATTAGGCTGAAAAAAACAAAACAACCCATCAGAGAGATAGCAAAAACATTAGGCGTGGCCAAAACAACTGTTTGGAACATTCTTAAAAAGAAGGGATGCACCGGTGAGCTCAGCAACACCAAAAGACCCGGAAGACCACGGAAAACAACTGTGGTGGATGACTGAAGAATTCTTTCCCTGGTGAAGAAAACACCCTTCACAACAGTTGGCCAGATCAAGAACACTCTCCAGGAGGTAGGTGTATACCTACCAAAGTCAACAATCAAGAGAAGACTTCACCAGAGTGAATACAGAGGGTTCACCACAAGATATAAACCATTGGTGAGCCTCAAAAACAGGAAGGCCAGATTACAGTTTGCCAAACGACATCTAAAAAAGCCTTCGCAGTTCTGGAACAACATCCTATGGAGAGATGAGACCGAAATCAACTTGTACCAGAGTGATGGGAAGGGAAGAGTATGGAGAAGGAAAGGAACTGCTCATGATCCTAAGCATACCACCTCATCAGTGAAGCATGGTGGTGGTAGTGTCATGGCGTGGGCATGTATGGCTGCCAATGGAACTGGTTCTCTTGTATTTTTTGATAATGTGACTGCTGACAAAAGCAGCAGGATGAATTCTGAAGTGTTTCGGGCAATATTATCTGCTCATATTCAGCCAAATGCTTCAGAACTCATTGGACGCCGCTTCACAGTGCAGATGGACAATGACCCAAAGCATACTGCAAAAGCAACCAAAGAGTTTTTTAAGGGAAAGAAGTGGAATGTTATGCAATGGCCAAGTCAATCACCTGACCTGAATCCGATTGAGCATGCATTTCACTTGCTGAAGACAAAACTGAAGGGAAAATGCCCCAAGAACAAGCAGGAACTGAAGACAGTTGCAGTAGAGGCCTGGCAGAGCATCACCAGGGATGAAACCCAGCGTTTGTTGATGTCTATGCGTTCCAGACTTCAGGCTGTAATTGACCGCAAAGGATTTGCAACCAAGTATTAAAAAGTGAAAGTCTGATTTATGATTATTATTCTGTCCCATTACTTTTGGTCCCTTAACAAGTGGGAGGCACATATGCAAACTGTTGTAATTCCTACACCGTTTACCTGATTTGGATGTAAATACCCTCAAATTAAAGCTGACAGTCTGCAGTTAAAGCACATCTTGTTCGTTTCATTTCAAATCCATTGTGGTGGTGTATAGAGCCAAAAATGTTAGAATTGTGTCGATGTCCCAATATTTATGGACCTGACTGTATAGGTCAAGCATTTCTTTCTTTTAATTTTGATGATCATGGCTTACTTCTAGTGAAAACCCAAAATTCAGTATCTCGGAAAATCAGAATATTACATGAGACCTCTATAGGAGTATTACTATTTGAATTGAATTACTGAAATAAATTAACTTTTTGAGGATATTCTAAGTTGAGAGATTATAGAGGTTTTCCTAAAGTGCTCCATGCTCAAATGATAAAAAAAAAAAAAAAGTGACTAGTGCTCTTCAAAGTCCTCTTCAGTCTCTGACCCAACCCCCACACACACACTTTTTTGGGCCACACTCACCAGATTAGATGGACCCCTTGCTCTCGCCAGTCAAACAGCACTTTATCTGGTGGTGGATAAGTGTACCACATATTTTTTTTATTTTTAAATATTACTTTTTCTTCAGACCGTACACTTAGCATGTCCTAATAAAAAAAATTTCAACTTAAAAAAAAAAAAACCCACAACCTCGCCATGCCTCTTAATAAATACCACTGACTGTCTACTTTCCAAAAAGGGGTAATTTGGGGGATATATGTACTGTCCTGGCATTTTGGGCTTCAGGAAATGAGACTGGCTGTCAGTATAGTAGGATTGATCAATTTTCAGATACATATCATCGTTTATGTACTCTTTCCTACAGACTAAATAATATATACACCACTTTACGTTATTTTCACCAAAGCAAATTTAGCAGTAAACAATTTGGCCTAAATTTATGAAGAACAATTATTTGCAAAATTTTATAAACAAATGAAGAAAAACTTTTTCCCCAAACATTTTTTCATCTATTTACCAAACAAAAAAAAAAAAAAAAAAAAAAAAAGGGAAGGAAACCCCAGGAGTGATTAAATACCACCAAAAGAAAGCTCTAGTTGTGTGAACAAAATGATAAACATTTAGCTTGGGTACAGTGTTGCATGACAGCACAATTGTCATTCAACCGTGAGTGCTGAAAATTGGTCTGGGCAGGAAGGGGTTAAAAGTGCCTGGTATTGAAGTGCTTAGAGCAATTCTAAAAAAGGGTTTTTTTTTGTGTTTTTTTTTTTTTTTTTTTTTTTTTTAAAACAAAACATACTTACCTGCTGTGTTTAGTGGTTTTGCACAAAGCAGCCCGGATCCTCCTCTTCTCGGGTCCCCCGCAGGCTCTCCTGGCTCCTCCTGTCTGTCAAGTGCCATCACAGCAAGAAGCTTGCTATAGGGGCACAGAGCCACATCTTGGCCCCACCCACCTCTCCTCATTGGCTGACATGGACAGCAGTGGAAGCCATTGGCTGGCTCCCATTTGCTGTCTCAGCCAATGAGTAGGCAGAGACCCAGGACAGCGGAGGATGTCATTCACATTTCTGAATCGCGGTGAGGCTACGGTAAGTATTGAGGGGGCTGGAGAAGCTGCTGCACACAGGTTTTTTACCTTCATGCATAGAATGCATGAAAGTAAAAAAAAAAAACCTTCATTCTTTACAGCCACTTTAAGTCCAAACATGACTGTTAGTTGAATTGCTATAAAAACACAAATAAGAAAAAAAAAAAAAATTCTTTTCAGCTGAAATGTTTCACAATATTGAACTTTATCAATTGGAAAATAATTTAGTTTTAGGACACGTTCGCAAATTTTAATAAAATTTTATATACCAACCTGTATAAGCCCACACAGGATGGTGCACACGCCAAGTGCATTACCAAAAGTTTATTATATAAAACAAATCAAAATGGATACAGACATTGTACAAACACAAAGCCCTGGTTCCTACAGATGCTAATTGTCATGCAATTTGACCAAATTGCATGACAAATCACATGCAATGGAACGGTTCTAAATTGGTGCAACTGACTTCATTGGAGTTGCACCAAATTAGAAAAGAAGTTCCTGCACTACTTTTGCCGATTGGGGTACAAATTGCATTGACATCTATGCATAAAGACGCACAGATGTCCAAGAAGTCGCACCGCCATCCAACTTAAATTGATTTCAAAGTTGGATCCAGTATGAACCAGAGCTATATCTCAATCCAGTGCAGGAATAGCTTGGCCTAACACTCCATAATGCTGCGCTGTCAAGCTGACAGGTTTTTGGAGAGGAACCACCTTCTTCAGAGAACAGTGTATTATTATAATAATACAGGATTTATATAGCGCCAACAGTTTGCTCAGCGCTTTACAGTGTATGCAACATTCTCCTGCAATCTAAAGCTTTCCCACACACTACAGTTTTTGTTGCCACTAGATGTCTTTAGACTAATGGCTGGCATCATTCAACCCACTACCTCTGAGCCCAGGTCATTCTGGGCCCACCCGAGCCCTGACTGGATAGTGAAAAGCAGAAGCATCACAGCTCAGAGCACATATGTCTCTGTTTTCTCTTCCCATCAGCACATGAACAGAATTCTTGAGTTCAGCCTTAAAATGCTTGTACACAATCAACACAAAAAAAAAAAAAAAAAAAAAACAAAAAAAAACACACACACCACAGATTTTAGTACTTAACTGGCGGACATTCCTTATTTTATTGATATACATTTAAGGATATCACAACTCTGTGTCACAGCAGAAAATAAGCTTTTAATGGTATGTTCTCCCAAATGACATTAAGCAACACCTAAGCAGATCACTGAAACTAATCATCATCTTTCAGATGCTTAATTTTGCTCTTATGCCGGTCAATTTCCTTTTGCAGGCGTTCAATTTGCTCCTTATGATGGCCGATTTCCTCTTCATGGTGCTTCCTCAGAGCGCTTAGCTGATCCTTCTCCTTTTGCCTGCAGGGTATAAAAAGGAGGAGATCATTGAATTCGTTCCATATTCTCTACACACATGGTCAAAGGGAACCAATACACAAGTGCTACTTCTTGACATATAAAATGCTGCATTAACTAGGGTTTAACATTGCTAAAAGACTCACAGCACTGTTATCCAGGCCTTACAAAGCAAAAAGAGAGAAATACCATATTCCTGTCCCCATTAGGGAGATTCCCCCCATTAGTCCTGTTTACCATTATCATTGAAAGTAAAAAAAAACCAAAAGTTTGGGTTGTCCCCAGAAACGTAAGAGGGGAATTCTTCCAGTTGGGGGTCCCCAAAGAATTTCCTCAACTTGCAGAGATTTTCTCACTTCCTGTTTATGGGGCAGGAAGTGAAGGTTAACCTGCCCAATGGGACAAAGATGGCAAAAAATAAACTGACAGAGTTATAAACACTCCCTACTCTATGCAAAATGGAAAAAAGGTTTTGCCTATAGTTCTTTCAATATTTTTGCCATACTCTCAATTATATTAGATAATTCTAAAGGGGATTGTACCATTAAATGAAAGTGTATGGTCAAATTTAGATTTACATTAACTGTAAACTTATGTCCTTCAACAAGATTTAAAAAAAAAAAAAAAAAAAAAAAACAATTCCCATTACCTGAGCCTGGAAGCTATGCCAGTAATACAAACCAAAACATATACAGTTGTGTTCAAAATAATAGCAGTGTGTTGAAAAAAGTGAAAAAAGCTCAAAATCCTAATAGCTTTTATTTCCATACACACAAATGCATTGGGAACACTACACATTCTATTCCAAATCAAAACATGAAGAAAAAAATATTTCAAAATTTGTGTTCCTCAAAAAAAAAAAAAAAAAAAAAAAAAAAAAAAAAAAAAAAAAAAAAAAAAAAATCAGTGTTTGTATTCTTTACAAACTCAAACATTTACTATATAAACTGAAAAATGTTTGAAGATTTTGCTTTCCTTTGAATCACTTCATTAATATTTAGTTGTATAAGCACGGTTTCTGAGAACTGCTGTACATCTGTGTTGCACAGAGTCAACCAACGTCTGGCACCTGTAAGAGGGGAAACTTACAAAATCTGCAGGGGATTTAAAAACAATTTCCCCCACTGTATGGATGCAGTGTTGCATGACCGTGCAACTGTCATTCAAATTGTGACAGCACTGAAACAAAAAAAAAAAAAAAAAAAATTGGCTTGTGCAGGAAGGGGGATGAAAGTGTCTGGGATTGAAGTAGTTAAAATAAGGTATGTATGTAATGAGGGGGGGGGGGGAAGACAAAATTCACCATAGCACCTGGACAGTGCTGCTGTATTCAGTAGGGTCTAGTTCATAGATTCCTACGATAGTAGTACAGTTGTGTTCAAAATAATAGCAGTGTGTTAAAAAGTGAATTGGGAACACTACACATTCTATTCAAAATCAAAACATGAAGAAAAATATATCACATTTTGTGTTGTTCCTCTAAAAAAAAAATAGAAGAAAAGTGAATATTAGACTGTTCAAAAAAATAGCAGTGTTTGTATTCTTCTTTACAACATTTTTCAGTTTATATAGTGAATGTTTGAGTTTGTAAAGAAGAATACAAAACACTGCTATTTTTTTTGAACAGTCTAATATTCACTTTTCTTCCATTTTTTTTAGAGGAACAACACAAAATGTGATATATTTTTCTTCATGTTTTGATTTGGAATAGAATGTGTAGTGTTCCCAATGCATTTGTGTGTATGGAAATAAAAGCTATTAGAAGGATTTTGAGCTTTATTCACTTTTTAACACACTGCTATTATTTTGAACACAACTGTACTACTATCGTAGGAATCTATGAACTAGACCCTACTGAATACAGCAGCACTGTCCAGGTGCTATGGTGAATTTTGTCTCCCCCCCCCCCTTCATTACATACATACCTTATTTTAACTACTTCAATCCCAGACACTTTCATCCCCCTTCCTGCACAAGGAAATTTTTTTTTTTGTTTCAGTGCTGTCACAATTTGAATGACAGTTGCACGGTCATGCAACACTGCATCCATACAGTGGGGGAAATTGTTTTTAAATCCCCTGCAGATTTTGTAAGTTTCCCCTCTTACAAAGAAATGAAGGCTCTAACACATTTATCATAGGTGTATTTTAAATGATACAGAATATCAACCAAAAACCCAGAAAAAAAAAAATACAAACGTTATAAATGGAGTTGAAGTTCAGTGAGTAAAATAAGTATTTGATCTCCTACCAACCAACAATAATTCTGGCTCCCACAGACTCGCTGTATGTTCATGTGGTACACAGATTAGTCCCCTCAAGTTGCGTCTAACCACAACTAGTTATGTGTATAAAAGACACCTGTCCACATAACCTCTTGCATTCAAACCAGAGCTGTCAAAAGGACATCAGGGACACGACTGTAGACCTGCACAAGGCTGGAATGGGCTAAAAGACCAACAAGAAGCTGGATGAGAAAGAGACAACTGTTGGAGCGATTATTCACAAAGAAAGAGAAGAAATACAAACGAACCATCAATCACTCTTAGTCTGGAGCTCCATGCAAGATTTTGCCTCATGGATGATCATGAGAAAAGTGAGGAATCAGCCCACCATTGCATGGGAGGAGCTTGTGAATGATCTCAAGGCAGCTGGGACCACAGTCAAACAAACCATTGGTAACATAATATGCTGCAATGGATTAAAATAAGGGATGCACCGAACTTTCAGCAACTGAAAATAGCCCTATTGGCTTTTTGCGAAAGGAAAAAAGTGAGCAGATATGGGTGCCAATAATGAGACCTGGCCCACATGAGGGGAGGACTGTATTTGGCTGGGGGTTTTTGGGGGGGGCTATGTGTACTGCAGACTGGGAGGGGGGGAAATTGGGCGGCAGAGAAAGGCAGGGGAAGTAAGCAGTGTAAAATAGTGAGGGAGTACAGTGTATACAGACAGGCTCCCTCACTTGCAGCTGCTAAATGTCATTTGCCAGTTTTTAAATGCAATTAAAAATCTTTTTTCCCCTTCACTATAGCTCCGAAGGAGCGGTCATCTCACACTGCTAAAGTAAACAAAGGGGCGGGGTCACCCAATGACATTACCCAGTGACCCCACCCCTTATTTTACTTTAGCAGCTGGGCCAATGACAGCTCCTTCTTGGAGCTATAGTGAAGAACAATAAGACAGTAATTGCATTTAAAAACCAGCAATGACATTTAGCAGCAACAAGTGAGGGAGCCTGACTGTATACACTGCTCCTCTCCTGCCCCCTCCTTGCACACACTGCAACCCCCTGTCAGTCACTTATATGTCATCACATAGAGGACTATTGGTCCCCAATGTCAGGGGTGGGCAACTGTGGCACTCCAGCTGTTGGTGAACTACAAGTCCCATCATGCCTCTCCCTTTGGGAGTCATGCTTGTAACTGTCAGTTATGCAGTGCCTCATGCGACTTGTAGTTCTACAACAGCTGGAGGGGCCACAGTTGCCCACCCCTGCCCTATGTGATAGCAATAAAATCAAAAGTTAAAAAAATACATTAATATTAAAACGAAACAAACAAACAAAAAAAAAAAAAAAAAAAAAAAACACAACACTGGAGCATCCCCACATATGCAGATGTTTCAGTTTTCGACCAAGTGCATCCTGAATTTTCGTTTTCAGCACCAAAATGTTCATTTTGGTGCACCACGAATTGAAATCCTGCAGCTCGCACAAGCTCCCCCTCCTCAAGAAGGCACATGTACAGGCCCGTCTGAAGTTTGCCAATGAACATCTAAATGATTCAAAAGGATTGGGGGAGAAAGTGCTGAGCTCTTTGACATTAATGTGACTCGCCGTGTTTGAAGTAAGAAAAAAAAATACTGACTATGACCCTAAGAACATCATCTCTACAGTCAAGCACGGAGGTGGAACATTATACTTTGGGGCTGTTTCTCTGCTAAAAGGTACAGGCCGACTTAGCCGCATTGAGGGGCCAATGGATGGGGCCATGTATTGTAAAATCTTGGATGAGAACCTTCTTCTCTCAGCCAGTGGACCAAAATCCCTCCTGATATGCGTGCAAACCTGGTAACCAACCACAAGAAACATCTTACCTCTGTGCTTTCCAACAAGGGTTTCTCCACCAAGTACATAGTCAAGTTTTGCTTGGGGATCAAATACTTATTTTACTGACTGAACTGCAACTCAATTTCTAAAATTTGTATCATGTGTTTTTTCTGGGTTTTTGGTTGATATTCTGTCTCTATCATTTAAAATACAACTATGATAAAAATTATAGACCCTTCATTTCTTTGTAAGTGGGCAAACTTACAAAATCTGCAGGGGATCAAATAATTATTTTCCCCAACATATGAAATTTATAATATTTTTGAGACAAATAGAGCTTTCTTTTGGTAGTATTTAGTCACCACTGCGATTTTTATTTTTTGCTAAACAGATGGAAAGACCGAAAATTTTGAAAAAAAAAAAAAAAAAAAAAGTTAGTTAGATTTGGTTACCAAATTTTGCAAATAAGTAATTTTTCTTCTCCACGGATGTGCGCTAATAAGGCTGCACTGATGAACACTGATAGTTGGCACTAATAAGCTGCACTGATGGACATTGATTGGCACGGATAATCGGCACCCTGATTATCACTGTAACTGTGTGGTGGCACAGGATTGCCAGTTATCAGTTTTGCTTTCCTCACAGTGACAGCATTGAGGAAAAGAAATACCAATAAACAGCATTTGTTTACATGGATTGGCGGTGATTGCTGCCCACCCCTGCTTTAGAGACAGTAATAACACTGGGTCTCTGTGCTTCTCTATGCAATGCAAGCAGATCATGGCTGGCGGAAGGGGTCAGCAAGCTGCAATACATACAGTGCCTTGAAAAAGTATTAATACCTCCTGAAATTTTCCATATTTTTCATTTTACAAGCAAAAACACAAAAATTTTTTGTGATTTTATGCAGTAGACCAACACAAAAAGTGGGACATAATTGTTAAGTGGAAGGGAAATGATAAATGGCTTTCAAAATTGTTTACAACCAAATATCTGAAAAAAGTGTGGCGTGCGTTTGTATTCAGCTCCCCGAGTCAATACTTTGTAGAACCACCTTTCGCTGCAATTACAGCTGCAAGTCTTTTTGGCGATGTCTCTACCAGCTTTGCACATCTAGAGAGTGACATTTTTGCTCATTCTTCTTTGCAAAATAGCTCAAGCTCTGTCAGACTGGATGGAGAAGGTCTGTGAACAGCAATTTAAGTCTTGCCACAGATTCTCAATTGGATTTAGGTCTGGACTGTGACTGGGCTATTCTAACACATGAATATGCTTTGATCTAAACCATTCCATTGTAGCTCTGCCTGTATGTTTATGGTCGTTGTCCTGCTGGAAGGTGAACCTCCGCCCCAGTCTCAAGTCTTTTCCAGACTCTAACAGGTTTTCTTCTAAGATTTCCTTGTATTTGGCTCTATCCATCTTCCAATCAACTCTGACCAGCTTCCCTGTCACTGCTGAAGCAAAGCATCCCATAACCTGATGCCGCCACCACAATGTTTCATAGTGGGGATGGTGAGTTCAGGGTGATGTGTAGTGTTAGTTTTTTCCGCCACACATAGCGTTCTGCTTTTAGTCCAAAAAGCTCAATTTTGGTCTCATCTGCCCAGAGAACCTTCATCCACATGTTTGCTGCACCCCCCCCCCCCCTCCATGGCTTCTTGCAAACTGCAAACAGGACTTCTTATGGCTTTCTTTCAACAATGGCTATCTTCTTGCCACTCTTCTATAAAGGCCAGATTTGTGAAGTGCACAACTAATAGTTGTCCTGTGGACAGATTCTCCCACCTGAGCTGTGGATCTGTGCAGCTCCTCCAGAGTTACCATGGGCTCTTGGTTGCTTCTCTGATTAATGCTCTCCTTGCCCGGCCTGTCAGTTTTCGGATGATGGATTGAACAGTGCTCTGAGATGTTCAAAGCTTGGGGTTTTTTTTTTTTTTAAATAACCTAACCCTGCTTTAAACGTCTCCACAACTTTATCCCTGACCTGTCTGGTGTGTTTCTTAGCCTTTATGCTGCAGTTTATTCACTAATGTTGCAGTCATGCAACACTGTACCCATATGAAATGTTTAGCATTTTCCCCCCCCACACAAAAGAGCTTTCTTTTGGTAGTATTTAATCGCTGCTGAGTGTTTTATTGTTTGCGCCATAAGCAGAAAAAGAGCACAAAAAAAAAAAAAAGGTTTCTTTGTTTCGATTATAAAATTTTGCAAACAGGCAATTTTTCTCCTTCACTGATGTGCGTTGATGAGGCTGCACTGATTGGCAGCACTGATGGGGCGGCACTGATCATCAGTGCCGATCCTTCCTCTGACAATTGCTGGTTATCGGCAGTACTTTCCTCAGGCTGTGACAGCGTGAGGAAAATGCAGTTGATAACTGGCAATTGCACTTACCGGTGATCTGCTGTGTCATTGTGATGATCAGTGCTGATCTACTTTGTGACAGCTGCCCTATGGACACAGCTGATTACGTGATGAGGTTTAAGGGCAATCAAAGTGACCTTTTTACCATGTGATCAGCTGCGTCCAATGACACAGCAGATCATGGAGTAAATACAGTTGCCGGTTATCGGCAGCGTGAGGAAAGTACTGCCAATAACTGGCAACTGTATTTACACCATGATCTGCGGTGTCATTGGACGCAGCTGATCACATGGTAAAAGGCCACTGTGATTGTCCATTTACCACATCATGTTAATCAGCTGTCCATTGGACACAGCGATTACGGAGATAGTCAGGTGCGCAGCCGTGGGGGTGCGTTCTGGGAGGACGGCATGTGACGCCCTCCCAGAACTGGAAAACCGCACTGTATCAATCATTCGGCTATAGCCTGGTTGTCAAGTGGTTAAGTCAGTTCTGTAGGCAATTGGTTCCACTAAATTTTAGTTAGGGGTATCAGTGAGGGGGACTGAATACAAATGCATGCCACACTTTTCAGAGATTTGTAAGGAAAAAAAAAAAAAAAACACACACCATTTATCATTTTCCTTCCACTTTACAATTATGTGCCACTTTGTGTTGGTCTATCCCAGTGGTCGGCAAGCCGCGGCTCTTTACAAACTTAAATGCGGCTCTCCTGTGTGCCGGGCGCCCGCTCCCCTCCCTCCTCGCGGGCGGCCGCCCCGCCCCCCCCCCTCTCCTCCTCTCCCCCCCCTCCTCTCGGATGGCCGCCCCCCTCCCTCCTCTCGGGCGTCAGGACTCTGCAGCTGTCAGGATGTAGGCGGGGCAGCCAGGATGTAGGCGGGGCAGCGTGACGAACTCTTCTCCTCTCACAGTCCTCCCTGAAGACCAGAACGGCGCGGGAATACGAGAGGAACGCGCGGAGCAAAGGTAAGTGAATTGACACAGGGGGGACTTACTATATGGGGGACGACTTACTATATGGGGGACGACTTACTATATGGGGGGACGACTTACTATATGGGGGACGACTTACTATATGGGGGACGACTTACTATATGGGGGACGACTTACTATATGGGGGACGACTTACTATATGGGGGATGAATTTTCAGTTTTTAAAAATGTGGCTCTCAAAATAAATTTCAATCGTGGTTTTGGCGAGATTTGGCTCAGTTGAAAAAAAAGGTTGCCCACCACTGGTCTATCCCAATAAAATACATTTATGTTTTTTGTTGTAACATGACGAAATGTGGAAAATTTCAAAGGGGTATGAATACTTTTTCAAGGCACTGCAGATATCGAAGTTCCCTGATGGGCTGATGTCTGGAGCAGAGGGCATTTCTATGTAGGCAGCATTTTTATGGAGATTGCCTTAGGCAACACCTACATGTAATTCTTAACCTCCAGAACTGAAATCCAATGAAAAGAAAGGAACAGGCCTGGGACAGTCAGGCTGGGGATGAAAGGGCTATGCTGGACATCCTCTAGACAGAAAATAGTGCAGGCTATGACCTGCTGCAGCTTCAAATGCACAGTGAGAAGCTTGCAATGTGCAGTGAAATCAGTGATCCTGTACAACTGTAAGGCTGAAGTTTAGCACGAACGTGAGAAAAACAGAAAACAGATTAGGCTTCAATCTGAAGGTTCCTGATAACCAACATACTTGAAATATCTCTCCTCCTCAGCAGCCTGGCGTTTGCCAAAAGCTCCTCCAGCTTCTCTCACAGCTCCCCCGCCTCCACCGCCTTTACCAGCACCTTTTCCCAATTCTCCCAACTGTGAAGAAAAAAAGCAAAAAGAAAAAAAAATTTAAAGTACTGAATTATTATTATACAGTATTTATATAGCGCCAAAGGATTTGCTCAGCGCTGTACAATAGCAAGGGGGACAGGACATGAGACAAGACGATAACAATACAATACACGAGGGGTTCGAGGGCCCTGCTCTTTGGAGCTTACAATCTAGGAGGGAGGGGAAAGTGGTACAGGAGGAAGTGGCTGTGGGGGATGAAGTGGTGGGAGAAGTGGAGGAGATCAGCTGCTAGGTGAGGGTGGGGTAGGCTTCCCTGAAGAGATGGGTTTTCAGGGTGCGCCTGAAGGTGAGGAGGGTAGGTGACAGTCTGATGGATTGGGGTAGGGAGTTCCAGAGGATGGGGGAAGTCCTGCAGTCGGACGTGGGGGGAGGAGGAGACCAGGGAGCTAGAGAGTAGGAGGTCCTGTGAAGGGCACGGGTAGGGTGGTATTTGGGTATCAGGTCGGTTAGGTAGTTTGGGGCAGCTTTGTAAATGGCTTTGTAGGTCAGAGTTAGTAATTTGAATTTGATGCGTTGGGCAATCGGGAGCCAGTGAAGGGATTGGCAGAGGGGGGTGGCAGAAGTGGAGCGGTTGGTGAGGTGGATGAGTCTAGCCGCTGAGTTCAGGATAGACTGGAGTGGGGATAGCATTTGTTTGGGTAGGCCAGTGAGAAGGGGGTTGCAATAGTCCAGGCGTGAGATAATGAGGGAGTGTACGGGTTGTTTAGTAGTGTCTGGGGTGAGGAACGTACGTATCTTGGAGATGTTGCAGAGGTGGTGCCTGCATTACTTTGACAATGATTGGACATGAGGTTGGAAGGAAAGGTTTGAGTCTAGGGTGACACCCAGGACTTTGGCTTGTGGGGTGGGAATGATGGTGGCGTTGACAGCAGTGATGGAGAGGATGGGGGGGCGCGGGGTGGGGGAAAACCAGGAGCTCGGTTTTGGAGAGGTTTAGCTTAAGGAAATGGAGCGACATCCAGTCTGATATGTCATTCAGGAGGTGGGTGATGCGGGCGGAGAGTGAGGGGGTGAGGTGGGGGGTGGAGAGATAAATTTGTGTGTCGTTGGCATAGAGGTGATAATTGAAGCCGTGGGAGTGTATTAGTTTGCCAAGGGAGGATTGGTTTCCTCTTGCAGACAATTCTCAAAGCCTACCATGGATTCTAAACTTATACCTCATTTGTAACAGTGCAGTGGAATAAAAATGGATTCAACTGTGTAGTCATTGTGCCCAAGGTTCACTTAGCAGCAATCAGAGTTACCTTTATTCCTCAAGGGCCTGCTGGTTGTAAAAAGGCACTGCCAGATGTATACATACCCATGTGATGAAGAAAGCCCCTGTGGATATGTTAACATTTCTTATCGTTTGCATACCAATAGACTCTTATTCCTTTTGCAAAACATAAATAGATGTATTCCAAAAATAGTACCTGGCTTTGAAATGACCAATGTGCATGCACTATTCAGATCTATTTTCAGCACAAGAGCTGAAGATCAATCACCGATTTTAATACTGTACAGAGTTCCACTGTTCTAGTAGAACTAAGTGCACTTGAATAAAAGGTTAGTCCAACTTAAAGGATTCTAGTCCCACACACTGCAGCCCCCACAGGGATGTTGAATTTAAATCGCCCGACACACGGGACATGTAGTTCCGGGCAGGTAGCTTTTTTTTTTTTTTTTTTTTTTTTTAACCTATAGCCCTGCTGCAGGCAAGTAGCAGGACTCACCTGTCAGGTAAAAGCATTCGGGCTTTTACCTCCTCCTACCCGCTATGTCTCCCGGGCTCTGCTTCCTCAACTGTGGGACTGGGAGCAGTTCAGCACCGTCAGCTAGAGGGGAGGGAGGAAAGCAGACACATCCACTCCCCTTGTCCTGACCCAGAAGTGATGTTCTGATGTCACTTCCAGGTCCCCGTTGACAGATTTCCCGGTCATTGAGACCAGGAAAGAATGTAATGCAATGCGACGTGCACTGCATTACATTCAGTGGGGAACAGGGGAGGCATGCAGGGTTGTCTCAAAGAGAACCTGTCAGCAAAAAACATCACATAGGGGACTTTATGTCCTCTGTCACGGGTGTCAAACTGGCAGCCCTCCAGCTGTTGCCAAACTACAAGACCCATGAGGCATTGCAAGATTGACAGTTACAAGCATGACTCCCAAAGTCAGAGGCATGATGGGACTTGTAGTTTAGCAACACCTGGAGGGCTGCCAGTTTGACACCCCTGCCCTACGCTTAAAAAAAAAAAAAAAAAAAAAAAAAAAAAAAAAAAAAAAAAAAAAAAAAGCCCCACTCCCAGCACTCGCTGGGGCGCCTATGATAACTCTAGCACAAGACAACCTCCGGAACTCTAAACGGATGACCTATAGGGGGTTTTAAAAAAAGTGTTGCCAAAAGAAAATCTAGGGTACTGAAGTCACGAGTGCACGCAAATTTCAGGTTTGACATGTTGGATATTTACTCGCTGCAATCTCATCTTTTATAGTTTACAAAAAAAAAATTAAAAAATAGCGTAATTCATTGCTTTTTGTGCCCTAAAATTTACTTTAGTGAAATTTTTGCGGTAATATCATGCTACATAATTTGGAACTACCACTATTTTATTCTCTAGAGTCAATGATTTCTGAAAATATATAATGTTTGAGGGTTTTGTGTAATCTTCAAGCCTAAGATGATTTTTTAAACTTGTGGAAAAAAAAAAAAAAAAAAAAAAAAAACCCCACACCCCCAAAAATGGCTCTGGTAGCAAAAGCAAGGATAAGCTCAACACTCCCCTTTTCCGACGAGCACCCAATCAGTGCTGATTACACTGCAAGGTCTCCCCCCTCCCTGCTAGTCCCCAGGTGCGGTGCTGGAGACAGGCAGGGAGGGGAGGAGGAGACATGCAGAGCAATGTTACAAATATTAAATGTTTAATTCACCATAAAGCCCCTTTTGATTTTAAAAGCCCCAGACATTCCTAATATCACCTGAGACTTAAAATATGGTATTTTGGTTAAAAAATTCTCTTTTAGCTAGACAAGTAGATTGTCATGAGGGAAAAGTAGACTGGAGCCCCACATTTAGTCTTTGGACAAGTAGTTTTTTCACAAATGTCCTCGCCCTGCCTTAGCTATTGCGTAGAACAGTCTTGGAGTTAAACTTATTTTGGGCACTTTTTACAGCATTTGTCTTTTTAAGCAACAAGGTTGCTTTAAAGGTTTGTGCACAGACTTGGTGCCCTCTGAAGAGTGATCTGCATTTGGATTGGTTTTTTAGGGGTCATTTGACAGGAAGTGAAAAACGGCACACTAACATGCCGCAATCACATACATTGCACGTGGATGTGGCCTGGCCCTATTGGTCACTTTTGACCACAGTAACACCTGCCAAATGCAGCATGCGGTTTTGTTTCAGTATGTATAGCTGTCAGCAATTAGATGTCAGTGTTCAGGTGGGTGGTAATCGGGCAGTAAAGCCACAGCTCAACCACCTGACTAATCTAATCAGGCAGGCCCTTACACTACATATTTTCCTAAATCTAAAGATAACCATACACAATTCAGTTTGATTGTAAAAGCTCCATTAGATCTACCAAGAAGTATGTATTGTAAGGGCCTGTGTGTTTTAACGGATTGGATTGTCCAAACAGATTGTAATGCGTATGGTGACCCCAAAGAAGACTGTAAAATCTGATTGTATTGTGCAGTGGTGCCCAGCTTTCTTGATATGGGGGGCCTCAAGTGTGTCCCCACATCGCCATAGGACTGTGCACAACAAAAAGACAGCAGACACACAACAGGACACAGTCGGTCAGACTATGCGCACAATACAAGACATGGTCAGAGACTGTGGACATGCTTAGCAGACAGACATGACACCGCTAAAAAAATCTCATAACAGCACAATAGGGAAACACAGATCAGTGTTTACAGGGGATTTAAGGGCTACACAAATAGTGTCAAAGGGCCGCATGTGGCTCTCGAGCCGCAGGTTGAGCACCAGTGTATGGTCAGTGGTCGAGAAATTGTACAAATAGTAACATACACTAGATTGCCAAAAGTATTGGGACACCTGTCTTTACACGCACATGAACTTTAATGGCATCCCAGTCTTAGTCTGTAGGGTTCAATATTGAGTTGGCCCACCCTTTGCAGCTATAACAGCTTCAACTCTTCTGGGAGGCTGTCCACAAGGTTTAGGAGTGTGTTTATGGGAATGTTTGACTATTCTTCTATAAGCACATTTGTGAGGTCAGGCACTGATGTCGGACGAGAAGGTCTGGCTTTCAGTCTCCACACTAATTCATCCCAAAGATGTTCTGTCGGGTTGAGGTCAGGACCTTGCTTTGTGCACAGTCATGTTGGAGCAGGAAGGGGCCATCCCCAATCTGTTCCCACAAAGCTGGGAGCATGAAATTGTCCAAAATGTCTTGGTATGTTGATGCCTTAAAAGATCCCTTCACTGGAATTAAGGGGCCAAGCCCAACCCCTGAAAAACAACCCCACACCATAATCCCCCCTCCACCAAACTTTACACTTGGCACAATGCAGTCAGGCAAGTACCATTTTCCTGGCAACTGCCAAACCCAGACATGTCCATCGGATTGCCAGACAGAAAAGTGTGATTTGCCACTCCAGAGAACATGTCTCATTGCACTTGGTGATGTAAGGCTTGGATGCTGCTGCTCGGCCCATTCCATGAAGCTCTCTACACACTATTGTGCTAATCTGACAGCCACACGAAGTTTGGAGGTATTTAGCTATTGACTCTGCAGTTGGCGACTTCTGCACACTTCAGCATGCACTGACCCTGCTCTGTCATTTTACGTGGCCTACCACTTTGTGGCTGAGTTGCTGTTGTTCCCAGTTGCTTCCACTTTGTTATAATACCCCTAACAGTCAACCGTGGAATATTTAGTAGCAAGGAAATTTCACAGATGGACTTGTTGCACAGGTGGCAACCTATCACGGTACCACGCTTGAATTTACTGAGCTCCTGAGAGCGACCCATTCTTTCACAAATGTTTGTAGAAGCAGTCTGCATACCTAGGTGCTTGATTTTATACACCTGTGGCCATAGAGGTGACTGGAACATCCAATGATTTGGAGGGGTGTCCCAATACTTTTGGCAATATAGTGTATGTGATGAGCTTTAGACAGTTGTCACAGTAACAGGTATCCCCACTGGAAGATTTCCCCTTTATTCCTGTTCTGGTGGCCATTTAAAACTGGACATTTCCCCTTACTTTCAGGCTCCATGCACACTGTGCGTTTTAATAACGCTGGTAACATTAGCTGTGTAAAGTCATGTTAATCTCTTCACGCCGGCCGAAAGCAAATGTGCTGCCTCCCGGCGTCTGGGCCCAGATGCTGAGCGGCCGCACATTTGCGTTCTAATAAAAAGGGACATATGTGCCGAGAACGCGTGCCCTGCGTGCTCCCAGCACATATGTCCGGTACTCACTGAAAGGTCCCGATCTCCTCTGTCAATTGGGACCTTTCCCGATCATGTGACCGCCGTGACAGCACATCACGGTGGTCCAATGACCCTAAACCCTGCCTCCTGAAACTCGTAAAGGGCCGAGAGGCGCCAGCATGAAGGGGTTAAAAATTTGAGTGTTTGCAGCGGTTTTTAGAGTTTTAGCATTAGCATTCAGCCGAGTTTTTTTTTTTTTTGCTCAAAAAAAGTTCAAAAATGCTGGTTTGCTGTGATTTACCGCATTAGAGCGTTTTTACAGCTAAAAAAAAAAAACTCCTATAGAAACCCACTAATTCTGGGTTTTTTTCCAGCCAAAAAAATGCTGATTACAGTCTATGTGTGCATGGTCACATAGGATAACATGCTGGGGGGGGTTTTACTGGCTGTAGAAAAAAAAAAAAAAAAAAAAAAAAAAAAAAAAGGGGGGGGGGGGGGGGGGAAGAAAAGACAGGTCCATCCAGTTAATCTGTGTGTGTGATTTGTATTCTCCAACAATCCCCATAACTCTGTGTTCTGCATCCTTAGAAAGACTTCTCCCTTCTAACAGATCACCTTCAAAGATACTTTGAACATTCGCTTGTCTGCTCCACCCCTGTAAGCCTGAAATAGTCACATTACATGTATCATTATAGTTGTTGTAGCAGCTTTCTTAGAACAGCCTTTATCATCCGGGTGTGCCATGGTAAAATGGTCAACGAGCTAACTGGTGGCCTCTTTCTTACACAAAGCCACAGGTTTTTTTATTTTGCCACATTACAAGCAAGGGCACTGTGCGTGCCAGACGCTGGCATTCTAACAATTGATGATGTCATCAGCTGATAAAGAACACAATCGGGTGCCTACACAGTGTCTTTTTAGATTTTAGAATGGGGTGCTTTGAGACGGTGCATCATTTTAAAAGGGTGTCTTAACTGAGAGAAGATTGAGAAACACTGTCTTAGGCCCCTTTCATACAGCTTTCTGATCAGCTCTGCAGGTCAGTTTCTCAGGTGGACCTGGTCGGAGGCTCCATACAGCTCTATGGCAGGCTGATATAAACAAACTTGTGTATATTTACACCCACCTACCTTCAAGTACATCCAGGTCCACAGAATAAAAAAAAAAAAGGGGGAAGGAAAAAGGGCACAGTACTTTTTCCCACACCTAAAGGCTCGCTCCCACCACTTGCTGAAAGAGTTTCCATGTGTGCTGCTGCACGGGAACATGCTGTTCTCTTTATATGCATGTGGGCGCCATCAATTGTTATGTATGCCTTGCATGGATAGAATTCCGAACAAATTTTCTTTTAAAAAATTGGAAATTTTGTGCATTTTGTAATCTGATGGGTCCACCATTGATTTTGAAATTCGACCAACCAAGCCTTCAATTTTACCTCCTGTTGCTACAGAAAATTTTGTGGCTGATAATCTTCTTTTCTTTCCAAGTCACAGCTTATGCTCTTTTTTTTTTTTCAATTCTATTTCTCAAACCATTCTTCCATCATTAATTAGAAATTTGTTCACAAAAAAAAAACTTCAACGTGCCGAATCACCTAAATCCGATGTTTAAGAAAATCGGCCACTGCTGTAGCCCAGTGCAAAATTGAAAGAAAATTCTTAGTTCCGATTTGCAAAAGAAAATTAGTTCAGAATTTGAACCAAGTATAGCTTGCTTTATATGTGTGGTTTTGGTGCAGTAAAAAAAAAAAAATGCACAGTTGAACTGCAATTTTTACCACCTCTCCCCCCAAGCTGCCAGCAGCTGGTGGTGCCATGGTCATAATGCTTTGCATCTAGAGCAAAATCTACACAACACGTAGATCGGCAGGGTGGTTAGCCTGTCAAACATGACACATTCCGGAGAACCGGAATCAGTGTAAACAGCTTGCAATGCACACAGTCAGCAAAAACAGTTGGTGAGGAGGCATTAAATCTCATCCTTCCTGCCTGTCAATCGCCTCAGAAGTGTGATCCAAGTGTAGATCGGGCTTCAGAAAAGAACATTTAGACACATCAAAATATACCCTTAAAAAGGCACCCAAAGCATCTAGCCCTTGCAACCACCAAAATACACAGAACTGCAATATGAAGTGATTTGGTGCGATTTTAAAAGTTGCACCTGTTGTACTTTTTGCGTGCTCCAGTGTGTTTGGCAGCACGCTGAAATGAAGGGGCTGTCAAAAACCTGCGCAAACGCAAGGATTACAGCCCTAAACATGGCGTATCAGAGGTAGCCCGACGTGTCCATGTACACCCACCCTCCCATCGAGTGATCATAGGTCCCCTGGACATGGCAAGGAACTGACATCAATCCGGTTTAGCTCCAAGTAGGCAGACGAGGTGTTCACGGATCCCTGCTGAATGCACTGGAGAGGATCCCTGTGAAAGAGCCCTTACTATATACTTTTACATATGAAGTGTCCTCAATTCATTCAATTATTACATTCCAATTATACACAGAATGAGAAGACTACTAACATGGCAGAGGAAAAAGAAAAAACAAATGACAACAAACATGAATGCAGGAAAAGTGAACAGAAAACAGCTCAGCTCCCTGCTCCATAAAATCCCATGATCCCTAATCACAAGACCTGCCTGTCCTCACCTCTCCTCTCCCCAGCATGACAAGCCTGATTCCTGGCCTGATCCTTAGTCACAGCCCACCCTTCCCTCTCCCTGCCCCCCTCTTACATTCACCCAGCTCTCCCTATCACCTGATCAGAAGAGCGCCTCATCTGCACCAAAAGAACATTCCGAAGACTAGCCCGAAACAACTGCACCTGTCCGGCCATCTTCACAACGAACCTGACCTTGTCCGCCGCGCACAGACTTCCGGGAGGTGTCACCTACACTTCCTGTTATAGCCCGGGGCGCAGGCGCAGTGCGAGATGAGTGCCAAGCCTCGTCCCAGGAAGGAGGCTGGGTCCTCTAAGGAAAAGAGATGTGGAGATTGTATCTCTGGATAGAATAGATTGTTTGTAAAATAAAGGTCTAGCGATTACATGGTGGTGTTGTTATATTGTGTGCTGCTCAGACACATGTTCATGAGTTTGTACTGTTTAACAAGCATTCTTTTCTTTTTAAAGTGAAGTTCCACCCAAAAGGGGAAGTTCTGCTTTAAAGCGGAGTTCCACGCGACCTATCAAAAAATAAAAGTAAGCAGCTATAAAAACTAGCTGCTGACTTTTAAAAAAGCCACTTATGTGTCCCTCGGTCCCGTGTGGTGTGTCCCCCCGCAGCCCGTTTCACTGGCCGTCCTGTATTCCAGAAGGCCGGCATCTTCAGTGCGGGCTCCCGGCTGTGACAGCTTGCGGCTTCACTGCACATGTGCGAGTAGCACTGCTCTTCTTGAATGGTCCTGTAGTCTTCTGGGACCTGTCACATGTCCCAAAAGACTACAGGGAGGGAGGACACATTCCGCTTCCCCGATCGCCGCGGCGATCGTACAGGAAGTGGGAGCGGGTAGCTGTCAAATTTGGGTACCCGCTCCCCAAAGTTGCCAGTCCTTAATGGGGAGCGGGGGAGCAGTCCTTAAATCGGAACTTCCTCTTTTGGGTGGAGCTCTGCTTTAAGCCTTTGGCCCCGCTCCCCATTAAGGATTGGCACCCTTGGGGAGCGGGTACCCAAATTTCACAGGTACTCGCTCCCCAAAGTTGCCAATCCTTATTAGGGAGCGGGGGAGCAGTCCTTAAATTGGAACTTCCTCTTTTGGGTGGAGCTCTGCTTTAAGCCTTTGGCCCGCTCCCCATTAAGGATTGGCACCCTTGGGGAATGGGTACCCAGATTTGACAGGTACCCCCGCTCCCACTTCCGCTGCGATCACCTAGGCAATGGGAAGCGGATGTTGTCCTCCCCCCTCCCCCCCCGTAGTCTTCTTTGACACATGACAGGTCAAAATGTAATGGCAACTTTGGGAATTCCAGGTAAAACTCTAGACATGAACTTGAGGAAAACAAACTATTTACTTAGCAAGGACTCGTGTCTGCAAGCTAAGTGTCTGAAAAACAACATACTTGGTGTATATATACCAACAATTACATCTCAATGCATATATTTCCTCTTTACTTTTCTGTACCGTTAAAATACATTCTGAGCAGTTAGCCTTTGCGGTTTCACAGACATTGCAGCTGCTAGGCTAGAACATATTGTTTCCACAAGAAATGAGGGGAGGAAGTGAGCTGATGACCTGCTTCTGCAAACAAATGCTTTTAGAAAGCTTAAAGCTTTAAGGGGAATTCTGCAATATTTGGGTGCTGCCACACCAGAATACTACAGGCCATTCACAAAGCACAGCACTGCTCATGCATGAGCAGTGGGCACCTGGCTGTGAAGCCACAAGCTGTCACAGCTGGGTGCCCACACTAAAGATGCTGGCTCGGAGAGAGAGAAAACGGCTGGTGAAACCAGCCATGTGGAAGACACCGCTGGACCAAGAGACCGGTAAGTGTGTGTATTTTAAAAGTCAGCAGCTACAGTTTTTGTAGCTGCTGACTTTTATTTTTTTTTCAGCTGGGACTCGGCTAGTAAACTTTGAAACGAACAAAAAAAAAACTTTCTCCCTGCAAGCTAAAGGAATAATATGCTTGTATGCATTGCATACTAGCATGTTATGAGAGACATACCTTGAGTCTCAGTTCACACTACTACAACCTGAAAGTTGCACGACTTACAGTGTGACTTTGCCAGGTGACTTGAGTACTACTTTGAAGCAACTCTGAAGCAACTTTCAGGGAATGCCTGGGTAATCTTCCTGTAATTATAAATATCAAGTGTAGGCGAGGGCTGGAACTATAAAGCAGCTAGCACAAAGGTATAGGTAACAACTCCTTATGGATAAAATATAGAAAGTGCAGCGCTAAAAAAAGTGAATGATATTATAGTGAAATAATAAAGTGCAATGTCAATCTCACATATAGCAACAAAAATGATCAGCAGAACAGTCAAGTGCAACATATATGAAAATCAATAAATTATTCAATAAATGTGGAACAGTAAAGTGCAGCATATCAAGTGGGATTAAATAAAGTCCATATAATATATCAGTGGAGTAAAAACTAAAAATGTCTGTGAGGATATAGGTACGGCAATCACAGTGAAATACTGTGAAGTGATCCAATAGGGAATCCACCACCTCTGTCAGATGTACACTCACCAGACATCTACTGGTAAACAGCATGCAAGCACATCTCATCTGGACACAGGTAACAGCATTGAAGCCTCTGCATAGGATGCTCAGCCAAGGGCAAAATGCAGGTGAACCCTCTCCTATGAGGAATAGCTCACCACAGGAGCCAGAAATTGTATATAGTGTAGTATTTTATTAAATAATGAATAAAAGACAATCCACGTGGAAGAACAAGTAAAATGAAAGTAAATGGAGTACCAAGATGGCCGCCGTTCCAATATTCGGCAACAGTGGCATGACGTCAGCAAGTGTGGCTCCACCTGACGTGTTTCGTGCGCGTGCACGTCTTCAGGGTGTACCCCGTATGAGCACAAGTCAGATAGAAGTCACCTTGAAGTAGTACAGGAACCTTTTCTAAAGTCGGAGTGACTTCAGTAGTGCTAATTAAGACAGCTCTCATTGACTAACATGGGATTTCACATATCATGCAACTTGGGGGTCTCATAAGTTGGATCCAAAGTGCGGCAGTGTGAACAGACCCTTAAATGAAGCCCTCCACCTACAGAGGCTTCCATCTTCACTTGTCTTCCTTCCGGGTTTGCGAGCTGCAGCCTCTGGAATGGTGCAAACTCCAAGTGCAATGAGGTTCCAGGGGATTTGAGGATAACCACAGTATGAGCAGCTCCAACAACTCATCCGACCAGCAATGAGACATGAGCACAAAACAACAAATAAAGAAACGCTCCCTACCCTGTGGAAGTCAATAGAAATTCACTTTAATGTTGGGTTAAAAAGCATGACATGAAAGAGTGCCCAAATTGATACATCACCAAGCCAGTGGAGAGGAGAAACACATATTCCCAGAAGCTGGAGGATGACACATGATTCTGAAACCAAAAGAAGGTTGCTCAGCCCAGGAGCCTCAGGACAGTGGGAGAAGTGTGTGAATGGCAGCCGCCATGATCATTTAGATGGCACGTCCGCTGGAAGTCACGTGTCCCAAATCCGAATGTACTGTCATACACCTGGTGAGAGACCGCCCGAACAAAGGCTGGTGAGGGCAAACTGAAAGCCTAGGGGAGCACCCAAACCATGTCAAACCAAAGGAGAAAAGCCGGTCATCATGACAACATGTTTCCGGGACTTGCCCCTTCTTCAGATCATGACATGTGTATGACAAAACAGTCGGATCTGGGACATGTGACCTCTGGCGGATGTACCATCCTAGTGATTCCAGTCGCTGCCATCCACACACCCTTCCCACTGTCCTGAGGCTCATGGGTTGAGCAACCTACTGTTCGGTCCAGGATCATGTGTCATCTTCCAGCTTCTGGGAATATGTGTTTCTACTTCCAGCTCTTTGGCTTTTTTCCCTCTGTTTTCACCTGGTTATCTGGCTAATAACATGCCTCCTGTGTTAGTGAGACACCACTCTGGAGGAATGAGCACAGGACCTGGAAGACATCAGCATTGTCAGTCTGGGGTGATGGGAGTGTTAAATGTATTAGCAGAATTAAATGCACTAACAAATTGAAGCTAAACTCAAGCTCACACTTTATAATCAGTTACAGTAAACAGTTTTTTTTCCTTTTGAGATAAAGGTTTTACATGAATAAATAAAAGCTGATCATTTTAATCACCCCTGTCAGAGTAAAATGGTTTGTCTCATCCATGTAAACTGATACATTCTGCTGGAGAGTTTGTGCTTCAGAAAAACAATAGGCTTGCTGGCTGGATCACCTGATGAAAGAAGAAGAAAGGAAGTCTAAAAAAGAAAATTGAATACAGCTATCACATCTATGAATTGGTAAGCTGCAATAAAAGTTTGCTTTTGGGTTTATTACCACTTGAAGTTTAGTCCAAAATCAAAGTCCAGAATTTATACAGCTTGTTGCACTAGTGAGGAGAAACGGGTGCTGATTGAAGTGAAGGGATACCCCTTTCACACAGCACAAAGGTTCAGAGCTTGGGCTGTCAATCACAGGCTGTGTGCTGAAGCTCCCTCCCCTGTCACCTTTTTTACCTCTTGGTGTCAAAAAAACTTGTCAGAAGTGACTCATGCAGATAGCAGAGGAATGAGACGGCAGAAACAAGTGAAACCTAGTGCCCTGGACAGAGACAAGTACACACTATAGAGGGATATGCTTTGTTCACATTTCATGTGTGAAGTTTATAACCACTTTAACTGCAGCCTCAGCTACACAAAAAATGTTCGTCACCTGCCCGCTCAAGAATATATAACTGACCAATACATATAAAACAGTAATTCATATATGTACAAATATAAAAAAAGAATAATCTCATGCAAGTGAAAAGGTGCTCAATGATAACTAAGACAGTCCTAAAAAATAAATACTGTGCAAAAAATACTTCCAAAATACAGTATAACAGTTCCCTTTGAAGTGTATAAAACAGTCCCATTTAAATTGACTGTTCCAGGATCCTCCTTATTTCTGCCATAAACACCAATGTGATTCACTAATCCCTAATCAGAGAGGTCAGCATACTGTATGCTTTGTGTAATAAACCCAGACGGGAACGCATGTTTATCAAGCCAGACCACATAAATTCAGATTGCTCCCCAGATGGTCCCGATCATTCTGCATATATATATACAGTCATGGCCGAAATTGTTGGCACCCTTGATATTTCTCCAGGAAATCATGT